CACTGGGCGCCGCCGAGCCACAAAGGAACCCTCGCGACATGCGCAGAAAATAGATGGTTGGCGACTCCGTGTGCGTTCGGCAAAAGGTTTGTTGAAAAAGTACCTTTGTTCGGCACACGGAGTCGCAAACGATCTATTTTCTGCGGATGTCGCGAGGGTTCGGAAGTCGCCTGGCGGCGTGCACATCGCAGGAATGGGCGCCGCTATGGGACTGGCGCAAGGGCACCCCGTCTGGGAGTGCCCGTCCCTGGACTTCGAACGTGCTGAAGGAGGTTTTGGGGTGGGATCGGCCCGCGGCTTCCTTCTGCTCCCCCATTTTTTGTACAACATGGTGTGAGAAGAGCTTTTCTGACTCCCGCGCACTCCGGTTAACCTTGTCCCCATCGTCCTCGTCGTCGTCGCCGCCAACGCGGGGGTGTTTTTGCAATCATACGTCTGTTGCCGGAACGGAACGGAACCGAACGGAATGGAATGGACTCCAACGGAACGGAATGGAACGGAATGGGAATAAATCGAACGGAACGAAACGGAACGGGAAACCGCAGGGCGTGATCCAGCGATCCTACAACGCGTACGCGGTGAGGGTGCGGGACACCAACCCTACCCCGACCGCGGGAGGGATGCTGATGGGCGGACTTTCCCACGGTAGCGACAAGGGGGCCGGAACGCTCATAGTCGTCCCGGCTAGCCAGACGACGGAGGGGGTGCTGTGCATCGAGATGCGCATCAGGCTGTACCACGACGGGGCCATGAGCAAGCTGCTGGAGAGGCTCGCGAAGGTGAGGAAAAACGCCGAGGGAGGGGGGTTAAGTTTGTTGCTGTTTAGGCGACTATCCGCCGCCACGTTGGCAGTGTCTTTCGGAGCGATAGCTTTGTCTGCTCGAAGACCCCATGTATTCTCTCTCACTCTCTCCCTCTCTCTGTGTGACACGCACGCGCGCACGTTCTCCCGCTCTTGCGACCAAATCGATCAAGGGACAAATTCACAGCATGTGGCGGAAGTTTTCATTTCTCACTGTTGAACACTCACACTTTTCGGCCTCTCATGTGGGTGTCTTTGCTAAAACTAACGCCGCGCCGGTGCCTTCCACGAACTCGCGCACCGGGTACCCATAGGACACGGACAATCCCGCGGTACAGCTGCAGGGTCCTTTCGTGATCCAGAAGCTAGTCCCGCCGCCGGCGCACCGGAACGTCGTCATGATCGCCGCCGGCACGGGCATCAACCCAAGTACGTTTTGTGGAGTTGTTGGTTTGTGTCGTTGGTGTTGTTGTTGTTGTTGTTGCTGCTGTTGTTGTTGTTGTTGCGGCTGCTGGTGGTGTTGTTGTTGGTGGTGGTGTTTGGTGTTGGTTTGCGTTGTAGCAGAAATCGATGTATCACGAATGATTGCGATTCACCGTACGAAACGACGTCACAGCGTTGTTTCAAAACGCGTTGTGCGAAGAAGCGTCTTGATTAAGCAGTCCTATGGTGCTACCTTTCTCGTATAGACCCTCCACCACCTAGTGCATACCTAAACAGGATGATACAGGGCTAGGGTACATTACCCGCACGGAGTCTCCCAAGCTCACCTGCCCGACGTCATGGAGCTAGAGCTAGCTCACCGTTACTTGCTCCTTCGCTATGCCTCGTCGTCTGCCCCTTTCGTTGTTCGTTTTTGTTTGTTTTTTTCGTTGCAACCGCCGCACGTACCATCACTGCGTGGACCTCGGACGGCGCTAACGCTGGCGGCGAAATTACAACGCTGGCGGAAAAATATCATGGAATTCTCGATCGACGGGATGGTCCTGCTTGGTGTTACTCCCGACCAAACTCGTGGCGACGCCAAATCTCGTGGGCCGGCCGATGATCCAAATTGATGTACTGCAACCTCGTCTGCGGTGGTGCACGAAACCACAACAAAACGGATTTGATTTCTCGTCGACGAATCGTGCCGATTCTTCTTCCGATTGCGCTGCGCTTGCGAAGTGGTGCAACAAATCCGAGACTACCTGGCCCTGCCGAGGTAAATCTTCACTCTTCATCTGCGTTTTTCTGAAATTTTTCACAAAAAAGAGAAACGCTTGTGTCTCGGCACGGTCGTTTTTTTCTACTGTACGTTTTTTGTGGGGCATGTTTGGGCGCTTTGGCCAGTGCCGTTAGGAGAAAACACGGAAATCAACACCTTTCATTCTCGAGTACGCAGAGTGACCTTGAGTTCGTTTCCGTTTTGGACAGCTTTTGTCGGCGGACCCGCCGTGGGCGGCGGGTCCCACGACGCGTCGATGTACACCCCACCGTACCTCATCGCCCCTGTTGCTGCTGCTGCTGCTGATGATGCTGATGCTGTTGCTGCAGAGTTGCCGCGCAGTCCTCGAGGTCTCGGCTGGCCCTGGTGTGGCAAGCGACAAGCGAGGCCGACCTCTACGGCTCTGAAGAGATGACGGAACTGCAGGTAGAATACGTACATCTATCTTGAACATAAAACACAATGCTGCTATACGACACGCTTGACCTGCACGGCTATCCATACTCCATACTTGTACGCCTTTCTGCATGAAGCACAAATATTTTGCACGATGCCCTTGGCCTGTGTGGCTATCCCCGCCCACCGTTCATTTTTCCAAGTATGATCGCCGCCTTTGCGAGGTGAGTGAAATGCAAGTGCCGCAATCGGCGTACGGTACGACCTGTGGCTATCCCGCTCACCGTGAGTTTTTCCTAGGGTGCCTGCTTGACGGTTTCCGTGTCACGAGGCGAGTGAGATGCAAGTGGTGCAAATACCCTACGATACTGCCCATACATCTATGGCTGCTTTGCCGCCCACCGTGAGATTTCCAAGATTGATGCCTCATTGAGCGTTTCCGTTTCCTGCGCCGACGAGGTGATTGAAATGCAGGCGGGTACACACGGCGGTACCGTAGGATTAACATGATGGCTTATGACAGGGTACCACGCCCACCGTGAGGTGTCCATGTATGCCTCCCTCAGGGGGTTCAATTTCGGGGGGGGGGTTGTACTCATGATGTGAACGCACGCCGTGTGGTCGTTAGGCCGTTGGCCTCGTTTCGCGAAGGGCAAGTAGGTACGGCAGGCTTGGTCACAGCCATTAACTTGCGCGGTCGCCTACCCGGCGCCCACCACGGGCTGTTGTTGTGCCCCCCACCCACTCGTAGTATGTACGCGAGCCGACCTATTGATCGACCATTCCGCCGGCAACATCCCGAAACTGTACGTCTTCAGAATCGTTATCGATCGACAACGACGACGACGACAACAACAACAACAACGTCCCCACCCTACAATGGCCCCCTCCTGTTGAAATGTCACTGCCTCAATCATTTACGTTATCCTTGATAGGAATCAATGTGTCATTGTAGGTACGCTCGAGTTGTTTGGCGTTCCCTGGGTTGTGATCCCCCCCCGCCGGTGTCATCCTCGATACGGTATATATTTTGTCAAATGGTAACAGTTCTTTGAGGTACGCTCGCGTTGCTTGCTGGCGTTGTCTTGGCACGTAAAAAACATGTCGTCAACTTCGCTCGCGTTGGTTCTTGGCGTTCTCGTGTCGGGTGCCGCCGCCCCCTCCCGCCGCCGCCTCTCGCCGTTACAGGCGAAGAGCAACGGCCTTCTAGAGGTGACCGTGCTCATCAGCGGGGAGCACCGCAAGAGGAACATCCCCGGGGCCGCGTTCCGGAAGGGCGCCGGGAAGCTGCTGGCCAAGGCCGGTCTCGTCTCTCCAGCGGCGGCGTCGCCCGCCAACTCCTTCAGGACCATGCCGAGCGGGAGGCGAGTGTGTTTGTGCGTGTGCATGTGTTTTCTCCACTTGAAAATATGCGTTCGCTGCATTTTTCTGCGTGGTAGAGGCTCCGATACGCGGTCACACGGAAAGCTTCCTCTCCTTTACCCGCACCGTTCCTGCGGTGCTTATTGCTGAAGAAAAGTACCCCCCCCCTGTGATGCACGGTAGGTATGTCTTTTGGGTCTTGGAAACGAGTATCGCCGTGGGTGTTGTTGTGCGAAGGGGCGTGGGGTATCGCGTATCTCCCTGTTACTCGATCTGAGAGTAGTCCTATCTTTTTTGGGGTTGGGATCGTGTTAACCGCCGGTGGAAATATTTCACCACCGCGAATGTGGTGTTGTGTGTGTTTGGGGCTGTTTCATTTCTTTTGGCGGGGGGGGGGCGCTATCTGGTGCCGTATGTGGCAGTGGGTGGTGGGTGTCGAATGGGGAACGTTCTTCGGATTGGTCCTGGTGTGATGGCTCGTTTGTCTGATTGTGTATTAAAAGTGTGGTATTTTTCGTCTGACCCTAAGTTGCTGGCCGGTAATGTGTGAACGATTCGGTGCGATACGCGATCCGTGTCGTCTTTTCCTTTTATTTTGTTGTTCCTGGTTGTCGGTGTGCTCTTTCCGTCCAATCTCTCTCTCTCTCTCTCTCTCTCTCTCTTGTCTCTCTCGGTGTTCGTATTAGCAAACAGTGATTTTTCGTCGGCCACAACAACGGCGACAACCACCACCCAGCGACCAAACAGCTGTAGTTTGAGCAAACTATTCTGATCCCCTCCCCCTCCCCCGCACGCGCACATTCGTGCATGTGATCGGAACCCCCGTCAACCTCTTGGGCTCAGGCCGTCCAACAAGAACTCCGTCAGCTCGATCAAGTCCATCAACGAGACCTCGTCGGCCGTCTTTCCGGAAGACAGCGAGAAGGAAGGGCGGGGGGTGGAGATCTCGACCGGGACGAGCATTCTTTCCACTGTGCGGCGACACTTGCGAACGAGTGAAAGAGTGAGTAGCAGCGTGTTGAGCGAGAGCATGAGTCCAAGACAGTGTGATTTTTTGTTCGTCCGTCTTTTTCATTTGTGCGTCCGGATAAGCTTTGCCTATGCGTGCTTTCCCTCAGTTCTCGCTCCGGTTTATTTTTCCGCTCCATGACCTCTGAGCAGTTGCGGTCCTCATCTCATCGAGATGCTCTCGTTCACTGCTGTCCATTTTTTTTTTCCGTGGTTCATCCTCGTGAAACGTACTGTAGCCTGGGCCGGCGAAACCCTGCGTATCACCCCATCCCCGCATTGTATGAACGCGAGGTCGACTACGGCGTGCGTTTTCATGAGGACATACGCACACACCGCGCTCAACGGTCTAACAACTAAAGCATGCGAAGCAGCCCTCTCCCCGCTCTTTTGTTGCGTGATCTAACGACTACGACATGCATTTGCATGAGTTCACCCCCCTCCGTCTTTCTCTCGTGTACGCGTGGTCAATGTTGTAATCGCTAAGTCATTCAAACCATGAGTACGCCCGCCCGCCCGCCCGCCCCCCCCCCTCCCCCCGCCCGCTCTGATCAGATACCTTCGAACACCAGCGTGGCGGGCGCTCTCGCCCGCGGGAAGGTCAGCCGCGAGGTCCTCGAGGAAGTGTTCGGCCCTAGCCTGCTGGGGGTTGTGGAGGCGGCCCGCAAGAAGGAGGAGCAGCTCTCCGCCACCGTGCGGAGGCGGCTGCAGAGCCTGGCCAGGCGGAACAAGGCCGGGACGGCCAGGAGAAGGTCGTCGTCGGGGGGGGGGGAGCGCAAGGAACCGGAGAAAAAATATGAAGACGAAGACGACGACGACGACGTTTTCGCAGACTTTTTGGCGGATGACCTTGCCGGGAGCGGTGACACCCCTGGGAAGCTGCAGGTCAGCCACGGAGCGAAGAATAAACATGTAGAAATTGATTCGACAAGCTTGCTCCCCCGCCGCTCATTGCAAATACCTAGCTTCAACACGGGCCCATTCGACTGTGGTGGTAGCTCGAACGGCGTCAAAGTCGCATGCTGTTTATCTACGAAAACCTTTTTATAGCTCCTTCGAGCTTGAGCAGTGGCGCCCGAACTCCAACGCTGTTCTCCATTTTGGGCCTGTCTGTTGGTCGTGATGTTTTCGCACGCTTTTGATCTCATTCTCCCGGCAGGCAGCCTGAGACGATATACTATTCTCTGCTCGTTTTTCTGCCCTTGCCCCAAGATTGCGGTTGTGGAGTCTGTCTCAACAGAGTTTCTTGAGTTTTCCCCACGCATGTGTTCCTACCTCTATTTTTTGCTAGAACTCGTACGGCTTTCTCTCTCTCTCTCGTTCTCCGGCGTTGTTGTTGTTGTTGTTGCTGTTCTCGGGCGGACGGACTGAAAGACGGACTCACGCTCATGCGGTCGATCGCTGCCTCCCTCCTCCAGGTGGTGGTCTCCGGGCCGAGCGGTTTCGTGTTCTACGTGGAAACAATCCTCACCGAGATGGGCGTCCTCCCTAGCGCGATCGTCCTACTCGATTGATTTCTCTTCTCTCGACAGGGGCTTGCTGGCGCCCTCCGAATCCGAGTGCTGCTGCTCCAGAGTGATGCTGCAGTACGGATGTAGTTGAATGCTTCCAAGTTTTTCATGGCTGTTGTGTTCGTGTTTTTTTTTTTTTTCGGTTCATGCGGAACATGTGTGTTCGTTGGGGTCACTACTGAGCAGTTTTTTTCAGTTGTAGCTGGTGGAACCCGTTGTTTTTTGTAAACCTTTCAATTTTCAGAGGATGCGTTTCCCCCCCACTCGTACTCTGGGGCCGTCTCGCATTTGTAGGAGGATTCCGCTCGTTTGGAGTGATGGGAGGAGAGTTAGCGTGACGGGTAACGGCCGCACGCTAGACATCGTAGAAGAGGAAAATTAAGTGCACAGGAGTAGTTGACAAGAGAGAGGGATAAGGAGGATTGGCCAACTTTTCTTAGGCCAAGAGGTCTTCGGAGTAGTTTCTTTGTGCGGTTGGTTGCGGCCCGAGGGTCAGGCCAAGAGTTCGTCGGAGTAGTTTCTTCGTGCGGTTGGTTGCGGCCCGAGGGTCAGGCCAAGAGTTCGTCGGAGTAGTTTCTTTGTGCGGTTGGTTGCGGCCCGAGGGTCAACTTTCGGGGTCGAGGGTCGATTTCTTGATTATCTGCAAGGCACCCATCCCCAAATGGTTGCGTGAAGCCCACGATGGTGATGATTGGGCGAGCGCACTATGTAGAGCTTTGTTTGACGTTTTCCGTTCCGGGTGTTTCGAGGAGGCCTTGTGAGCCTCCTTTTTTTATATTTCTTTTTATTTTTTCGTATGTGGGGCGTACTTTGTGTTGCTGGTATCAATTTTGGGGCTTTGCGGGGCTTTTCACGAGAAGGGGGCGGTCCTGTTTAGGCATCGTTCCCCGTGCTGTCGGTGTCTTCATGTCTCGGCGACTTCCGTACGTGCCTTGGTGAGGTATGTAGGTTGTTTTTTTTTCTGGCTCGTTGTGATGGCGTCCATCTTGCTGTGCTGTTCGCTTTGGTTGGTTGGACAACACCACCGTCTGCTGACGTGCAGGTTTTTTATACGTTAGCGGAAGAACTTCATTCTCTGAGGCGGTGATTGGTTCGACCTTGTTGTGAATTTTTTGTTGTTGAGATCTTGAAATATTGGCTGACACCATCAACGTGGTGTGTGTTTTTTCTTGTTGGGTGTGTATTCTCAATCTACGAAAAGATATGTGCTGGGTCGCGGGGGAGAAGGCCAAGGTGCGCGCGATCAGCATGTATGTGCGGTGAGTGTTGTGTATTTTTTCTGGCCTCGCCTTCTTCGCAGGAAGGAGATGTTGGTGTGACGAGTGACGCCTCGGCCCACCCGAGTGTACGAACAGTGGAAGACAAACTTCGCACAAGGCTTCCCGCGGTGGTGAGGTTCCACGGCATTAGGCTTGACAATTGCTACTGTAGAGCTTTAGCCAGCTGAGTCGTGTCGACGCTGATGGTCCCGCGGGGCGCCTTCCGTGCTGCGAGCTCTCTCGCTCCCTGTTATCCATCCGAGTATTCCTGTTTTGAGTGCTGTTGCATATGTCGATATGTTGTGTGGGGATTGATGTTGTAGAAGAAGCTCGCCGCAGGGTGGGTGAAAAGTTTTCCGGGAGATGGTAAGAATCGATTTTGAAACCAAATGAATGATTACGCGCTCTTTTGACGACTAAATACACGGTTAACATAAAGTTTTTGGCGGGAGTTTTTTGGGGTGATGTCGCTGTCAAAGCGTTATTTTTGTGTTCTTTTTGGTGAGGTAGGCGTCGCTCGTGACGCAGCTCGAAGGCGGGGGGATGGGGGTGGGAGGGGTTCACCAGCTACGCGCGAGGGCGAGGGAGCTATATGTAGTACTACTGTAGGTCAAGTCGACACGTTTTTTTCGTAGCCACCGTCTGTGTGAGGCGCTCGTGGTCCTCATCATCGCGCTGGAGTAACAGCTGGTCTTGTCTCGAGAAGAGGTCGACGGAGCGAGAGAGAGAGAGAGAGAGAGAGAGAGAGAGAGAGAGAGAGAGAGAGAGAGAGAGAGAGAGAGAGAGAGAGAGAGAGAGAGAGAGAGAGAGAGAGAGAGAGAGGGAGGGCGTCCCGTAGCTTGGGCCGCGGCGAGTGTCGTCGATTTCGAGAGTAGAGCTTGAAGATGGGGTTGGAACGTCGACCGGCTTTTAGCACTCGTCCTTCGTTTTTGTTCCACGGCGGCACCTCCTTTTGATCAGAGGTCTTTTTTCGTTTCACCTCATTTTTTGGGGTTGAGAGAACGGTTTCGGGGGGATACCCGATTCACCGGGTAAAGGCTGTGCCTACCGTTCGCTGGTATGGCGCAGTGAAGAACCCTGCTCTGTTGTCCGTGTCGGTATCTGTTCCATGCGCCGTGTATTTTACGGAAAGGAGGAGGAGTAAAGAATTATGTGCAAGAGCAAGTCTTTTGATGAATTTCTTGGCGCGTGGTTGCGTTGAAGAGCTTGGTTGTTCAGCGGTTTTGTGTGTTGTTGCAAGCAAATAAATCGCGACGGGCGTTGAGCGAGCATCGGGGCGTTCGTTTTCATGCGTTTGTTCCATCTGCGGGTGCATTATCTAATTGTCGTAATTCTCTTGCCTGATCATCGGTTAGGAACCGAATGGGGTACGTGCCCCCCCCGGGGGGCGTCTTCGTGTGTTCTCGGAAATGTGTGCCGGTTTCTTTTTGGCAGAAAGGCAGAGACGTTGTTCGTCTTCCTTGTTTTTCAGCAAGTATTTGTGCTCGATAGGGACGAGCTTGATGCAGGAGGTCTGTGGCGATCGACAACTACCTTCACGGGAATGGACGTTTCTACCCCACAGCCATTCTACCCTCCACTATTGCCTTTCAATCAAACTCACTAGAAGACGACGCGGGGGCGGAGGCGTGTCTTTTTTTTTTTTTTTATCCTCCTGACTCCCTGAAATACTGTCGAGGCAACGATCACATCTGTTTCCGTCTTCATTCCACCGCGAACACGCCGCTGTCAAGACCAACACAGTCCTCAAACGAACGGGCAAGTTGCTGCTGGCGATCGAAACTCCCACCAATTCTGTGAAAGAAGGTACCATCCACCAAAGATTCGTGGGGAATGGCACGGCATTGGCGTCACCGGTCACTGTCGCCGTAACATCACAAAAAAACCACTCCGATGTCTGCCGAGTACCTTCTATCACCCATCGGTGCTGGATCCAACTGGGCGCAGTCGGTTTCCTCCCTCCGTCATCACGGGTCAGCCAAAGAGAAAAAAAAAACGTACCAGAGAGAAATCGCACACTATTTAGAACGCGCCTTACATCTCTAGGTAGGCGCGTGCTAGCGTGCGCGACGGCCATCTTGTTAACAACTCTCCAACCAAACAAAAGACCAACAGGCCCATCCTTGAGTGCAAAATCACATCTGCCCGACGAAGTTGGCCGTGTCGGTCTTGCCACCAGCCCCGCCTCCTGCCGCCGCCGCCGCGGTCATCGTAGCCTCCTTCGGCAACGCCCACTTCGTCGTGATCTAAATAGGGTGCAGGTGCAGACCGCGTCAACGGAGGCGGAGCGTCGCATCGCGTGAGGGCACTCCAGGGAGGGGGGCTTAAAAGAATTGCGGTGGTTTGAAATAGGGAGGCGAAATCGGTTCACATCTTCTCGTCGCGAAACGGTAGCCCCTATCGCACTGTGCATCGCCTGTAGTAACCGGGTTACAATAGTTGCGGCGTTTTAAGTCCTACGTGTGGGAAGCGAGGCCAATCAATGGTGCTTACGCAAAAATATTAGGATGGAAGAGAGAGAGAGAGAGAGAGAGAGAGAGAGAGAGAGAGATTCCAGACAGACAGACACAGACACAGACACGAAACGCCGATGCTATTGCCCAACATGGCACCAACAATGCATCGTTCGGTACCCTGCAATCATTCATCTTGGGGGCGCAACTCACGATTACGGTGCCCCCCCCCCCCGTTACCTTTCGGCGGTTGGTGAAGAACTCCATCGCCCCCTCCGCAGTGACGTCGAAGTCGCCGTACTTGCTCAGCGTCCCTGACAATCCCCCGAAGGCGAAAGGCTCGCGCGGAACGGGGATGCCCACGTTTACCCCTGATTAGGGTTTTTCATCGATGGGCGGGAACACAAAGGTGGGGGGAGGGAAGGGAGAGAGCTTTCAGGAATAAGGGGAGAAGTGATGCCTCCGGCGTGCTTAACCTTGTTTCATGGCCACCTACCTCTCTCTCTCTCTCTCTCTCTCTCTCTCTCTCTCTCTCTGCCTCTTCTTTCTGTCCTACTCTGTCGGTCTATCTGTTCGTTTTGCTGTCTGTGAGCGTTCGTCTCTCTCTCTCTGTCTCCCTCCTCCCTTGCCTCCCTCCCTCCCTCCTTCCCTCCCCCCCTCCTCTCTGGACAAGTCACCCACCTATCATGCCCGCCCGGAAGCGGGTCTGGAAGTAGTCCGCCGCCGGCCCAGACGACGTGTACACCGAGGCGGCGTTCCCGAAGGGAGACGCGTTTTCCACCGCCAGGGCCTCCTGCCACGTGTCCACCTGCCTCGCGCAAACCAACCCACAAAGGGGGCCGCAGGGGGCGAAAAACGCCCGAGGGTTAAGCGCTCGCTGACATTTATTATTACCGCCAAGACATAGTCGCCCTGGTGGACGGACGGTCGCGGAAAACCGTCAAATACACCGTCGTAAAATGGGTTTTTCGTCAAACGTCAAAATGCCGTTGTCCCGGGAAACCGTTCATTTACAGCCATAGTCTGGTTTTCCCGTCAGTCCGTCAAAGGCCGTACTCCAGCACCAAGCACCCCGTGAACGAAAGTGCACCCAGAACAATTGCCTGGGAATGTTTGAACAGGTCGTCTCTTCAAAACAAACGGGCTTTCGACCAAAATTTTTCTCGTCGCCACGCGTGCTTCCCCTGTTCGCTGGCCACCTCCTTGCTGTGAATTGTGTGTACCTTGACCACCATCAGGACCGGCCCGAAGATCTCTTCCGACTTGCCGTCGCCTTTGTTGCCGTTGCGGCTCTTGACGATCACCGTGGGGCCTACCCACGTGCCCGGCCTCCGCTCCGCCCAGCCCCTCCCGTCAACGACCACCTCCCCCCCCTCCGCCTCCGCCGCGCCGATGCGTCCGACGATGTGGTCCCGTGAAGCTGTGCTGATCACGGGCCCGACCTTGCCCTACGGCATAGCGCGGCGGGGTACGGGGGGGAGTTGTGAACGCATGCCGTGTTGTTTGTCGTTAGGCCGTTCGCCTCGTTTCGCGAAGCGGAGCTAAGCATGGGCCTTGGTCTTGACGCAGCGCGCGCGATCGGGGCAGGGGGGGTGTACTCATCGCGTAAATGCATGCTGTATAGTCAGAACACCATCGACCTCGGTTCGCGAAGCTGCGCTAATCACGGGCCCGACCTTAGCGCAGCGCGCGATCGGGGAAAAGGGGGGCGGTGAACTCATCATATACACGCATACCGTTGCCGTTATACACCGTTCACCCCACCCGGAGCCATATGCTGGGTGTTCGCCGGCCCAGGCTACGTTTCACTACCGCTGAACCACAAACTTATCATCGTCTTTGCGTTCCGTTGTGCCACACCAGATATGCCAAGAGTTGATTGGGATCGGGGGGTCCGCGGAGGAGCGCCACGGTACAGAAAGACGGAGACAAGATGTGAGTTTACTTGCTTGCTGGCTGTGGCTGCAAGGTGTTTCGTGACAATTTGGTTGGGTGTACACGCACCACTATCTACAGAGGATACACGCCAAAGCGCTTTGCCAAGCTACGGTGGAACGGGGTGGAACGCGTTGCGTGACATTTGATCACTATTAGACGAACTACTTATCGTCAGGTCGTCCGACGCGCTTCTAGGGAAAGGTCTCACCGCTTCGGTGCCGGGCTCGAGAGCCTTGGACTTCTGAATGACCCTGTCGAGGAGGTCTCCCGTGTCGCCGACAAGAACGAGCACACTCGCTGGGAGGTAGGGGAGGGATGGAGGGAGGAAGGGGGGGAGGGAGGGAGGGAGGGAGTAAGGGAGGGAGAAATAGAGAGAGAGAGAGAGAGAGAGAGAGAGAGCAAGCAAAACGACGTCAAACCGAAATCAGTCCACCGCGACGGGAACGAGGGAAAGGACAGGGGACGCGTCCAGGAGAAGGAGGCGGACAAAAAAGAAGAAGGAGCAGATCAACGCCTTGCATCGCCTATTTCGTGTTGGCATGAGGTACATAGGCTTGTCACTCGTCACGCCAGAAAGCTCGAAAACGTTTTTGGTTCCCGAGTCGATTTCAAGAGAGGGAGACAAGCAACCGGGGGGTGGGTAGGTGAACTGGACGGGTGACACATCAGACAGGTGAAATCCGTCCATGATCGCTTTCACCCCCCATCCTCTCTCTCTCTCTCTCTCTCTCTCTCTCTCTCTCTCTCTCTCTCTCTCTCTCTCTCTCCCTCATCCGAAAACGACGAAGGAACAAAAGCCCTGGTGCACAGCAAGCAGTTTGAAAACTCTCCTCGCGACAACACCGAGTGCCCAGCACCCCGCCAGCAGTAGTCCGAACGGAAGCAACACACCCGAAGAACAGCCTTAACCGTTCATACAAGGGTGGACACATACGGGACCTGATACAACGCGAGTCTCCAAAGCAGCAATGACGAGGACGGTAAACTCTCCCTGTACTTGTAGCGACAGAAGAAGCGGTAACAGTGTCAACAACTGTGTGAACGTAGACTATAGGTAGACAAAGAACGCCGGGGGGGGGGTCCCACCTGCCATGCACCGTTGCCCAGCGCAACCCGCGAAGGACGCCACGATGTCGTGAGCAGCTGCCTCATGGCTTCGTTTTATTGCCATGTACCACCAATCGTGTGCAGCCAAGACAGGTAGGGGGGAGAAACAACGACACACGAAAATAGGCGGGTTTTAGCAGTCAGACGAGCGCGCTGCAGGGCGAGGATGATCAAGCGGTGAAGAGGGCTGAAAAATGAACAGATTCAGGGAGCAAGCAGCCACACCACCTCTCCCGGCCACCACCATTCTGCCTTGGACTTCGAGCAGCAGCGCCCACCCGATTGGCAGCTCTGATCGCGTGTTGCCACAACATCAAACACCAACGACAAGACTACGACGAATAACTTACTCGCAGTCCGGGAGAGCGATGAGGTGGTTCTCCGCGCCGCCAAGCGCCAGCACCCGCTTGTTGACCGCGTGGCAGCGCGCCGCCACGGACTTGGCCACGCCGCTGCTCCCCACGAACGTCAGGGCCTTGACCGCCTCGGCGTCGCACAAAGCCTCCGCGGCCTCCTTGCCGCCATTCACGATCTGGAAAACCCCTGGAGGCAGTCTGTGGGGGGGGCACCGCGGCGTACTCATACGCATGTTTGGTATGCCTAAGTGGTTACACCATTGACCACGCGTCGTGGATTGGACGGGGTATCGGGGTGATGCCTTGGCTTGATAGATACGCGGGCCAGTGCCGCCGCTTCGAACAAGCGCTTGGAGGGGGCGTCGATGTACTCGCCCCCCCCATAACAACAACAAAACCAACAACAACAACAACAACAGCAACAACGATAACCAAACCAACAAATCTTACCCGGCCTCCCCGAGCAGCTGTCCGACCTTCCGCATGGTCAGCGGAACCTTCTCCGAGGGCTTCAGTATCACGCAGTTGCCTGCCGTCAGGGCGATCGGCACCGTCCACCTGACAAACGATCGTCAGCAGCAGCGTTGGCACCAGCTTGCTGTCTCCAAAGTAGCCGCGACGAAAAAGAGGAGAGTGTGTCGAAAGAGCAAGTGCCAACACCCAAGATGTTCCAAAGCCCTCTCTGCCAGGATTCGTACTAGGGCACCAGGGGTGTTGACACCCCCCTCGTCGATCAGATATACTGTGCCAATCTGAAACCAACCAACCCAGCCCACCAAGGCGCGATGCACTGCCTCTCCGAATTCCGTAGCGAAAGGACCGCACAGACATCCATTTGAACGGCAGCGTACACCCCACACGCTTGCCAGAGACCTACAGCCACAGAAGAGATTAGCCGCGCTGCCCTTTGACTCACATGGGCACCATGATGGGAAAGTTGAACGGCTGAGTAGACGAGACAAGGGTGGGGGCACCGCCCACGCGCGAGGACGACGTGGGCCATTCCGCCGCATCGCAGAGCACGTGCAACAAAGAGCAGAGAGGGGGCACACAGATAGGAGGAGCGCACGTGAGGTGGAAATATCGCACGATGCCAGCAAGGAATGGGAGGGAACCAAGCGGGGGAGCGAGCAGAGACAGAACAAGGACATGACGAATAAAAGAGGGAGTGACAACCAGGAAGATGTTCAGGGAGGGGGGGGAGCAGAGGATTTTTTTGCAGCTCGCACCAGGGTCGAGATGAAATCGTACCTCCACTACGTTTACTCCAGCAACACTTTTCAGCCGCCTGGCGGTGGGAAGATGTAGGAGGGTCACAAAAAAGTAGGTTCTGTCTCTATCCAAACAGAGTGCATACTTCATGAAAAAAAATCCCAAAAATATAGATAGCGAGGCCTCCTTTTGGAGGAGGGGCGCACGGGGGGGATTCTGCATGCTTGATACCTGACATGCACCCCACACCCAATATAAAATATCGGCCCCGTTTTCAGGACATTGTGGCTTCCTGATTGGCAAGTACAGCCACTGGCATCAACGGTGTAGAAGACCAAACGATTGGATCCAAGACTGGGAGTTAGGATCACCTGACAAGCACCCCATCAAAGGGCGTGCTCGAGAAATGTCCAAGGAAAGGGGGGGGGGGGGCTCACCACTAAGCAGGCGACGACCCCCAGCGGCTCCCTCAGGTCCCGGCACTCGATGCCCCGGCTAACTTGGAGGATCTTCCCCTGTGCATTTCCCGTAACCCCCCACCCGCAGAAAAGAGACAACAAACACGCGGCACACAGAAGAGCATGAAAGAGGGGAAGCAAACGCCAGCATCAAAACCAGGAGTGCCGTGTCCGCTGTGAAGGCACAAGGGCACTTCTCTGTTGTAGGCGCTGGTGCGGCGTACCCGGGGTGCAAGCGGGTCGTAGATGGGTCTGATGTACATGAAACCGCAAAAAAAATGACTCATGCTCTCTCTTTAGTGCTCGGCTCGGGGGGAGAGTGTGCGATGACCGGCGCTTTCCACCAGGGCCTGAAAGAAGGAGACCAACACGAGGAGCACCACGCGCGACCGTACAGTGCGACCTGACAAAAGAAACACCAGCAAACCCAGCACCAGGACTTACGAGAAGCGGCAGCACAACACAAGCACACATCTGTCTGTGCTAAGTGATGAGGGTATGGATGTGTGTGTAGCGCGTGCGCCTTCCTGAATTGTCTTGCCACGTGCAGGTACGCAGAACCCTACGCAAATCTTGTCTTGGTTTAGGGGGGGAGAATATACGCAGACGGCGCGCCTGCCCCCGCTAAAATAAACTGGAGGCGTGCTCTGTGCATATCACGAGTCCTGTTTTCGGAAGAAAGACGCATGGTCGTAGGCCTCTTTCGATCTTTCGGTGAAGACATCTTGGCCCACAGTAAACGTCAGTAGAAACCGGACGCATATACATTGCCGTTAATCCTCACCGTTGGGATGTCCCGCGGGTATCCAATCAGCGAAGCACAAATCCCTACTACTGCCGCACCAACAGTTTTTACAAATCTGTTCCATGCATACATGCGTATCGCTCTCTCTCTTGCCTGCATGAGCTGAGGCATGGAGCACGCCCACTCGACAGTCTCGTTCCCCTTGGCCACAGACGCCAGCGCCTCCGCCTTGTTCTTGCCGTTCTCCGCCACGACAAGGTCCGCCTGGCGATTTTCGCGGGAGAGACGCACACGAGACACACACGACACACACCACCCAACGAGGCGGTGCCATTACGCACCATATTTTTGCGGCCCACCTCCCCCCCGAAGCTCTCTTGCATCCTCTCTATCACCCTTCCCGGTGTCTCCGGCGTTACGTTTCTCTCATCAAAAGCCTTATGTTTTACCCCCTGGGAGCTTATTCCGGTCTGAGCGTGACACTACATAGCCACCCGGGTCCACCACCACACCCTGTTTCACTCGATAACCTACGTCAACCTTCCCTCTTCCCTTCCCCCCCCAACATCAGCCTTCCCCCAAACGTGCCGCCACCTTCTCCTCCTCTCAGACCCCGACGATCCTCCTACAGTACGTAGTCTCTCGTTCTTTCTCCCCGTCTCACCAGCTCGTCGGCATGCATCTCTAGGAGGGAGTGGAACCGGAACATGATGGCCGCGCGGCTCTTGGCCGTCATGCCGCTCCACCCCACGAAGGCCTCCTCCGCACGGGCCGCTGCGACCTCGACCTCCTTCTGCCCCGACATGGCGACTCTGGTCAAACGAATTTCGTCGCCGGGAGGGGGGGGGGGGGGCAGCAACCCCCCCCCGGGAAGTTATCACCCCCAGCGGAACAAAATCCCCCCCCCCCCCCGGGAAAAGTTGTCTTTTTCTCTGGCCTAAAAAAATGGAACCCCCTACACAAAGGATTTTCAAAAGGAATCCAACGTTTTTCCCACTGCAAAGGGTGACGTCTTTTCATTGGTCACCCGGGGGGAGCCCTGTCCAAAGATCCCCCCCGGAGCGCCCTGAGCTATGATGGAAAAAGCCCGGGGGAAAGGGAAAAAAAATCGGAAGGAAAACGGCCAACTGCCCGGAAAAAAGCGCAGGAGGGGGGCCCCACAGCGGGGTCGTTTCTTCCCCCCCCAGTAAAAACATTTTTTCCCCCGAAAAAACTGGGAAACCCCCTCCAGGGGAACCCCCGGATCCAAACCCCCGTCCCCTTTTTTTTTTTGCCCCCCCCCTAACGGGGT